TGCTTTCATTGAAGTAGAATTTTTTAACAAGAATTCAGTAATAATCTTCAAAACATCATCACATTTTTGTGATAATTCTTGTTCAATTTTTGCTCTATACGTTTTAATTAATTCTACTCTTTGAGTATTTCCTTTAGCTTGTTCTTTTTGTTCAAGAGATGAGATAATTCTCCATGAAGCTCTTCTTGAACCAACAACGTTCTTGTAGGCAACACTAATAAGGTTTCTTTCTTCAACTGAAAGTTCAGTTCCCATTTCAGCTACTTGTTTCATGTATTGAACCATTTCTTCATATCTTTCACTTTGTTCAGCAAGCTTACTTAAATAAACCAAATCTTCGCGTGAAGTCATCAATTGTTGATTTTAAGTTCTATCACGGGCTTCATATACCTTTAGTAGTTTAACTTCTAGTTCTTTTGTTATTTGTTTTACTATTCTCTTCATCCTATTTTTATCCAATTCTTATTTTAGTGATTTCAATGACTTTTTTATAAGATTACTATTATTCATTTTTGATATAACTTTTTAACTTCTTAAAATTTTGTTATTCTTTTATAATTTGTCATATATAGCATTATTCTAAATTATCTTTCAAATTGTTTTAATTTAATAAAATTTATTTTTTTGTAAGTATTCATAAGATTAATCTTCGTTATCTCTTTTAAATTTTATTTCGTTTATTAAATTAACCAATAACGAAATAATACCAAAATAATAAAGAGTATTTTACAAAAAAACAGAAACTCAATAAGCTTAGCAATAAGGTTAATAGTCAAGTAGAAAAATAATAAAAGGAAATATTAGAAAAAGAGGTTTTATGGTTTTGAAGAAAAAAGGTTTGGTTATCATTTTTATAAAGTTACAAAGATTTTCATTATATTAACTATGAATTAGGTTAGTATTAACGAAGCTCTATTTCTATTAATTTTGACTTATTTAGATAAATTGAGTTAAAAAATTTCTGATACAAATTGTTTACATGAAAAAATATTTTGTTATAAAAAACTTTTGTAATGATATTATTTTGAGAAAGGTCTCATTTTGCTTAAAAACGTTTCAATAAATCAAGGATTTTATATCTTCTTCTTAATAACTCTTCAATGTAGTCTTTTAATACAATTTCTTTTTTTATTTTTGTTAGATACAAATTTATGATAATGATTATTCTGACAAATCTTTTCTTAGTACACTATTTTCTTTCATAAGATTTTATGACATTGTTAATCCTTTATTATTTTTGAGTGTTGTCTTTTCTTTTCAAATACCAAAAAGGTTCTTAGAATTATTTGTTTGAAGTATTCAGAGTTTGTTTTAATTTAAGGGGTTTTATCAACTGACTCTGATAAGAACTTTAAATTCTTTTTGTCAAAATAGATTGAGAAAAAAGATTAAAAATCTTGCTACTTAAAAAGTCAAGAAGAACTTTTAAATAAATCAAGAATTCATGCAAGAAATCATTGACCAATTTGCTATTGATAAAGAGAAGATGGAAGTCATTGTATCTAAGCTCTTAGAAGAGATGGAAAATGGACTTCAAGATAAACCAAGTACTCTTCAAATGCTTCCAACATATGCCCCTATTCCTACTGGTAAAGAAGTTGGTACTTTTATGGGTATTGATGTTGGTGGAACTAATCTCAGAGTCTTATTATTAGAAATTCCTGAACCTGGTGTTCGTGGAGAACTTAAATCAGTTGAATGTATTATGCCAAAAACATCAACAACCATAGACCAATTCTTTGGATTTATTGCCCAAAAGATTAAAGAGTTTGTTGAAAATAACAATTTAAAAGAAAAAGAAATTAAAGCTGGATTGACATTTTCTTTTGCTGTTGAACAAATTGCTATAGATAAAGGAATTCAACAATCCTGGTCAAAAGGATGGGATATTAAAGAATCCATTGGTAAAGATATTGTTGAAATTTTCCATAACCAACTTGCAAAAGTTAATGTTAAAAATATTAGGATAGTCGCATTTATCAATGACACTGTAGGAACATTTGCTAATCTTGCATATGATGATGCATCATGTGGTATGGGACTTATTTTTGGTACAGGAACTAATGGATGTTATATTGAGAAAACATCTAACTTTGCTTCTTCTAAATTAAAATCAGTTTACAAAGAAGATTATATGATTGTTAACACAGAATGGGGAGGATTACAATTCCCAGAACTTGGGCTCAACAGATTTGATGATATGATTAATGATATTAGTGTCAACAAAGATCAACAACGATATGAAAAGATGATTTCAGGTATTTACATGGGATGGTTTAGCAGATTAGCTATTAGAGAATTAATTGAGAAAAAGGTTATTTTTGAACGATATGCTAATGCTGATGTTTTT